CTCCTTCCCTCCTTCCCTCCTTCCTTCCCCTCTCCCTAATCCCCTCCCAGTGCTGAGCAGAGGGACGGCTGGACCAGTCTTCTTCCAGGGGAGGCCCCTTCCCTTTCTGTATCACCCACAATGGATGGAGAAGATGCCGGAGAGGATCCCGCCAGGGCATGACAGCCCCCCCACTTAACCCCCCACAAGACTTCCTTCCCTTCCCCCCTCCCTCCTTCCCTCCCTGTGGGGGGCAGGGGGGTTTCCTTCTCAACCTAGACTTTCTGGCCGGAGGCGTTGGGATGCCAAAGGGGGGTGGGGGGGGGGGGGGGGGGAGAGCTATTCTGCCACTACCACTTCTTCCTCCTTTAAAAATACCACGTTTTGCGGGGGTGATGTTTTGTTTTGGGATTTTTTGTTTTTTAAAAAAAGGAACTGACAGTTATCTGGACCCGACGTTCCGTTTTTAGCCTCCAGCGTTTCCGAAATAAAGCCGCCCACAGACCCATTGAGGTCAGGGGGGACAAACCAACATTGCGGAAGTCGCCAGCCCGTCAGTTTTGGAGGTTCCTTTTTTTTTGGTATTATTATTATTATTGTTATTATCCTTTTCAACACCAACTTTCAGCCAGCGCATCTCTTACCGGGTTACCTGCGGTCTGAAACGAACTGTGTTTGGTTCACCTCCCGCTGACTCGGGAGTGGGGCCGCCCCAAATCCTTGACCCCCCCCCATCCTCTCGTGTCAGTCGACCCACGCACGGACGCACGCACGCCGCTCCGTGTTAATGCATGCGCCAAAAGCGAACCTCCAAAGAGGGGGTCTCCTCACAGCTCCGTTCCGCCTGCCGTTCTCGCGGGGCCCGTCACTCACCTGTCGTTCTCTGTAGCCGGCATTCTTCTCCCACGCTTCCTGATGCGATTCGCCAGGGGAACTGCCGGCCACTGCAAACCGTGGGGGCTCCATCCCGGGAGGTTTTTAAGGGGAGATTGGAGAGCTCTTTGTCTGGAATGGTAGAGGGTCTCCTGCTTGAGGAGGGGGTTGGGCTAGAAGACCTCCAAGGTCCCTTCCGACTCTGTTACTCTGTATTAATCTGTCATATTAGTGCAGGGAGGTGGGGTTAACTATGTCTTCTTAGGACCTGTGGACTTCAACTCCCAGAATTCCTGAGCCAGCTATGCTGGCTCAGGAATTCTGGGAGTTGAAGTCCACAGGTCCTAAAAGGGACATAGTTATACTTCCTCCTACTCGTATATCCCCCTGCATTTGAGCTATGGAATTCAGCCTCTGCTTTAATTTGGATCCATTAAAGGAGCAATTTATTAAAGGCGCAAAGGATAACCTTCCCACCAAGCCACAAAGACCAGTAGTCCTCGTCTTACGACCGTTCCTTCAGTGACCATTCAAAAGGACAACGGCGCTGAGAAAAAGGGACCGAAGACCACTTAATGACCATTGCAGCACCCCTCTCCCCCCCCGGTCCCCCACGATCACGCGATCAAAATTCAGAGGTTTGGCAGCTGGCTCATATTTATGACGGCCCCGGGGGTCACATGATTCCTTTTTTGCGAGCTTCTGACAAGCCGAGTCAAGGGGGAAAGCCAGCTTCACTTAACGACGGTGTTACTAAGTGAACGACTGCAGTGGTTGTGGCCGGAAACGTCGTAAAACGGGGAGGGGACTCACTTTGAATGGATTTCTCACTTAGCAACATAAATTGGGGGGGGCTCCGTTTTGGTCGTAAGTCGAGGACTGCCTGCCTAGCCGAGTGCTGTCGATCAATCCTCTGCCTAAACGGATACAGCTCAGCTTAATGGCTTCAAATGTATAATTTTTCCCCCCCTTAGTCGGTTACAATCCTTCGCAACCCCAGGTGTTCTTTATGTCTCTTTTCCGTGGCCATAAGGTGTGATCCCTTTCTCCTGACTCGCAATCAACCGAGTGTAATATCCCAGCCTGCTCTGCCAAGAAAAGCGATTTTTGTCTGCGCTTCTGATAGCAATCCAGGGGTGGGGGGGAATATTCCTGCTTGTTTCTATTTTATATAGCCTTTGGCTTCCGGGGATTTGGGGAAAGGTCTTTTTCAGATGGAAGGTGGGGGAGGTCTTCCGGCTACAGATTTCCGTCTTTAAAAGACGGCCAAGGGAACGACAGACAATTAATTGTATTATTTTTGTGTGTGTGTGTCCACTTCTCTCCATGTCTCTGCTCTTGAGGTGGATCCCAAATCGACAGAGCTAGCATTTGAACCACCCGTGGATCTGTGGATCTTCTTCCTTCTATATCTATCTATCTATCTATCTATCTATCTATCTATCTATCTATCTATCTATCTATCTATCTATCTATCTATCTANGTATTAACACTCTTAACACACTATTTTAATTGTATCCCTCTGTTTATGCTGCCTAGGATTGTGTTGGGGTTTTTGGCAGCTGTAACACAATGTTGGCTCGTGTTTAAGTGATCGTCCAATAGGACTCCAAGATCCCACTCACAGTTACTGCTATTGAGCGAGGTTATACCTGTGCTTCTCTCTCTCTTCTCTCTTCTCTCTCTCTCACACACTCTCTCCTACAGGAAAGCCAGAGGTAGACATTCAGCAAACCATCATCCAAGAGCTGGAACAGACAGTGAAGCTCACCTGTACCGTTTTCGGCCATCCTCAGCCAGAGATCAGATGGAGCATACCTGGCGGGAAGGTGAGAGTCCGTCCAAGGTCTGGCAAACACCAAGAACAAGATCTCTTCCTTATCACTCAGCGCTCTTTTAAGGGTGCAAGGTTTTCAAAATAGGTTCAGTAAACAGACGCAATTCTGCACGCACTTATCTAAAATCCTCTCTTTGCTAAACAAACTTTAGCCGGTTGGTGGAAACGAATGGAAATGTGCAAAATCCGTTTTTGACTCTCTCTCTCTCTCTCTCTCTCTCTCTCTCTCTCCCTCCCTCCCTCCCTCCCTCTCTCTTTCTTTCTCTCCCCCTCTTTCTTTCTTTCTCTTTCTCTCTCTCTCACACTCTCTCTCCCTCTCCCTCCCTCTCTCTCTCTTTCTCACTCTCTCCCGCTCTTTCTCTCTCTTTCTCTTTCTCTCTCTCTCCCACTCTCTCTCCCTCCCTCCCTCCCTGTTTTTCTCTCTCTTTCTCACTCTCTCCCCCTCTTTCTCTCTCCCTCCCTCTTTCTCTCTCTTTCTTTTTCTCTCTCACTCTCTCTCACTCTCTCCCTCCCTGTCTTTCTCACTCTCTCCCCCTCTTTCTCTCTCCCTCCCTCTTTCTCTCTCTTTCTCTTTCTCTCTCTCTCACACTTTCTCTCCCTCTCTCCCTCCCTCCCGGTCTTTCTCTTTCTCACTCTCTCCCTCCCTCTTTCTCTCCCTCCCTCTCTCTCTTTCTGTCCCTCCCTCTTTCTCTCTCTTTCTCTTTCTCTCTCTCCCACTCTTTCTCTCCCTTCCTCCCTCTCTTCCTCCCTCCCACTCTCCCTCCCTCTTTCTCTCTTTCTCACTCTCTCTCTCTTTCTCTCCCTTCCTCTCTCTCTTTCTCTCCCTCCCTCCCTCTTTCTTTCTCTTTCTCACTCTCTCTCTTTCTCTCCCTCCCTCTCTCTCTCTCCCTTCCTCCCTCCCTTTCTCTTTCTCTCTCTCCCTCCTTCCCTTCCTCCCTCTCTCTTTCTCTCTTTCCCCCTCTTCCTCTCTCCCTCCCTTACTCTCTTTCTCTCCCTCCCTCTCTGTCTCTTTCTCTCCCTCCCTCCCCCCCCTCTCTCCTTCTCTCTCTCTCTCCCCCTCCCTCCCTCTCTCACTCCAGGCTCCCGTAAAACACTCGGCAAATAAATATATTGCTGAATTGTTAGTGGAATTGACCCCCAAACTGATCCAAAGCGGAGTTCAGTGCACCGCAGAGAACAAGTATGGCTCAGCCAAAAGGAACTTTGAGCTGAAAATGGGTAAGAAACTCCCTTTTCAGTCCGCCGTGTGCCTATTTGTGGTTGTGGGTATGCCCGGGTGTGCTGTGAGTGGGCAAAACTTTCAGATGCAGGTAGTCCTCGATGTACAATGGTTCATTTAGAGGCTGTTCAAACTTACAACGGCCCTGAAAAAAAAGTGACGTACACACTTAACGACCGCTGCGTCTTCCCTGTGGTTACGCAATCGAAATTCAGCTGACTGGCAACCGACTCATGTTTATGACAGTCGCAATGTCCCTTTTGTGACCTTCCGATGAGCGAAGCCAGATTCACTTAACAACCGGGTTACTAAGTTCACAGTTGCAGGGATTCACTCAACGACGGTGGCAGAAATAGGCCGTGCAATGGGGCAAAACTCCCTTAACGAATGTCTCGCTTAGCCACAGGAAGGCGGGGCTCAAGTTGCAGTCACGGTTCTTAAGGAAATTCGGCTTCCCCTATTGACCTGCGATCCTGGGATGTTGCACGTAACATAAAATACATGCTGGTGGCCCAGATCCTGACCATGGGGAAGGACGGTCATAAGTCGATGACTACCTGTCCCCTAAAGTCGCCAAAGTTTGAGAAAGCTCGGATAGACTTTGCTAACCAATCTCTCTCTCTCTCTCTCTCCTTTGTAGTAACTCCGACACTCTCTGTCACTTCGAAGCCGGCTTGTAAGTATTTTCTTTCCCTTTCTCCCTTCCTGTCGGTGCTAGTCGGAAAGGGCGGTTCAGGATGATGGGAGTTGTAGCAATAGCAATAGCAGTTAGACTTATATACCGCTTCATAGGGCTTTCAGCCCTCTCTAAGCGGTTTACA